GAATAGTGGGATTGACCGTCACATTATAACGCCTTCACGGCTGAAAGGGCGAGCATGTTTGATGTGACGGATATTAAAATGTATTTACAGAACTAATAACGTGTTATGTTATTTCGACTTGATTTGGATTGTCTTTTAAGAGTAAGTGACATGATCTGCATATATGCTGAATAAACAATGTGTGGTGTGCACAAGAACAAAGACAGAAAACTCTCAAAGTTGTTTTATTTATTTATTTACACCACATTTAACCTTAACCTGTCATATTTAAAGACACCAGAAGTATTTGCTACCAAATACAGGCATGAATAGCAGTACTTTAAACAAGATACGCTTTCTTCATAAGTCTTTATAAACATAATAAAATGCTGCTATTAAGTATTGTGCGCTTAACAAAGCTGCTTGACTATCTGATATTTGATTGTACGTATACTACAACGAAATTTATCAACTCTCACACATTTACTGAACGGCAAAGCTTAGACGTGACATACTTCATGAAAAACATGACAAACACTTAACTTAGAAATTAAAACTACACAAGAGTATAATAATACACTAACGTTTAACTTCAATAATGTTTGATCCACACCACCCTTTGACCTCTTGGAAATGACAGACAGTAAATATTCGTGATAAATCCAGAAACATACGATACTGCGAAATTTCCGTTTCTTCGTTTATTATTGTCACACCAAATATGGTGCCTTACTGTTCCTAGATATCACAGTTTGAAGGTTTATGTTTTATTCGGCTATGGGGGCTCCCAAAATTTTGCCTATTCACTTACTTATATGTGCATATATGAACAATATGGTTTGAAAAATAGACATTGAAAATGAGATCAAATATAATAAAATCTCATGCACACAGATATAAAGTAATCACAATAATCTTTTTTGTTAGAAACGATAGGCATATCAACAGACTATTGGCTGATTTCCTACACCACTTAACCATGATGCTCTAAAACAAGTAAACCTCAATATGCTCTCATATGATATATTTTATTGTAGATTAATATTTTGAATGAATAAAACTATTGAATCACCAAAGATTAACATACAAAATGGTGAAATGTTAAAAAAAAGTAAACAAAGAGTGCTTATTGACAAAGTCATCCTCTTGATATGTCATAAAGTTAGGGTTATTCAGGTACTCAGGTCCAGTGTTCGTAGCTCGTATCCTTATCTTAATATTTACAATACTAACGTAAAATATTCCAAGTTTTTTTTTAGTGTATTCAGTTTAAATCTACCAATATAAAGACATATTATTTATTTAGCAATTCTGTTCTATTTTTTAGTAATATTTACTAAACGATTGCTTAATCATGCATCAAATAATTATTCCTTTATACAGTCCTTGTTGAAAATTCTTTGTGAACTGGCGGTATATGTCACTGGAAAATTTAGCCACTGTCAAAACAACGTAATTTATTTATGTTTTCTCTTTCAACTGCTATCTTTTTTGTTTCAACCCAATATTCTGCGTTATACCCTCGGTTAGGCTTAAAAGAAATAATGGACATCAAGCTTTACTGAACTTGGTAGTTCATTTCTCGTTTGTTACTGTAGTGATTCAGAGAACTGGCAGTAATACTAATTCAATAAAATGAATTTAGTCATTGTTAGACAAACGTTTTTACTGTTTGGACAAATAAACTTTTCCATCGTTTGAGCAAGTGAATTTCATCATTATCTAATTAACATAATTTAGCTATTACTTGAACACGAGTTACCCCTTCCTTTTTTCTTTTTTCATAAGATTCCACAAAAGGAATATCCTTCGATATTCAGAATGTGAGCTCCGCAGTATCACATATTAATTTTCAATAAAGGATAGGTAACGGCTCGTGTTTGTATGTGATATACCCTAATATAACTCGAAACATAAATGCTTTTTGGGCAATGAAAATTTGGTTATGCCTATTTTGTGCAACATCTACAACATTTTACACTAACTGCATTTTCTGGAATTTGAGATGAATAAGTTCCAATAAGCTACTGTATACCCACTATTTAAAAACAATCTGAAATTTACCACAAACTATATTAAAAAGAATTACTAATGAAAAAAAAAGGTATTGCTTTTTAAAGCTTGAACAATAAACCAAAAATAGGAATCCTACAATACTGAAACGTTTTAAGAATGACTCTTATTTTTAACTTGTAACTTTTGTTGTTGCGTATCTTTATTCATTGCTTGATTCAGAAATGTTATTCATTTCTTATAAACATATTAATCAGCATAAATTATTAATATTTTTTAATTTTTAGACGTAATTAGCACCAGCTTTGCGGTACTAAACCACATGTTTCTGACAAAAAAAATCAAAATTCGAATTCACGCTAGGTGTTAGTGAGAAAGGGTAAGGCAGTGTAATAAATAAAGACTGGGGACATTCGAAATATATAAACATCACACATGGCTTCCTGTAAGACTTGCTTAGTAAACATAATTTCGATACAGAAGTAAGACGAATGGTGGGAAATGTTCTTTACTATTTCAGGTCCAGTGTGTGATGAACATGATCAAACGATGAATCACGTGTTGATATAGATCACAATGTTTTTTCATTACAAGTAAAAATTGCCATCATAATATTTCCATTTCGTTTTTTGATTTTATTACTGTATTTGTCTATTTTGAAGGAATAGAGTATTAATCGTATAAATTCCAAAGGTTACGAACATCTAGGCTTCCTCGCTACACATACTATAACAAATTATACAAGTAAAATAAACATTTGTATTCTACATAGATAATGCAAAACCAATGCAAACCGGGATTTTCGAAATAGAAATGTAATAAACAGAATTGTTTTCAGTAATCAGCTTGCAGATGTTTTTGGTTTGTTTTTGTTTGTTTTTTTGGAGGGAGGGAGGAGTTAATTGTAATGAAAGATAAATACTGAACGTTTGCTAAATTATCGCCAACATTTTACCCTGTATACAACTCCTTATACACATTTCTACTGCTGTACTATATAGGTAGCACAACTCCCCCCCCCCAAAAAAAATTCCATATACATAGTGTGCACCAGTAAATTCTCTGGATGAGTCATGTCAGAATATATTTTATTTACATTCCAAATGAAGCAACCCTCTCCCCCTTAGCAAACACTCTACTGTGGACAATCCCAATTACAAAACTCACAAGCAATTGGTTATTTTCTCAGCTTCTGTGTGTGTGTATGTGAATGTATGTGTACATATTTGAATCTCCACATACAAATAGAGATAAAATTAAAAATGATCTTAGGCCTGACATCTCACAACTGAGCCTCTAATGTAGGCCATTGGACGGTAGAGTAAAAACAAAAGATTCCTTTACAGTTCAAGGCTTTAAGCCAGATGATTGATAACTCGAGGAACGCTTAGTCTTTAAATTATAATTAGTCCACGAAGAACAGTACAGCTAGAAAACAATTTTGTTCTAAGCCTAACTACGAGCAGCCACACTTTTTTACCATCATTCCTGGTAAATATCCTAAAATAATATTACTGCTGTCGTCAAAGTACAACATACTTATGGAAGACATCTTAGAAGGCGCACAGCAAGGGCCAATAGATCCGTAGGGGTCGATTTGTTGAACTAAATGGGTATGAGGGTAGCGGTGAAGAAATACAAATGGGCATTCTCCGCTGCAATAATTAGCTTCGTATCTCTGTGGAGCGATGATCCAGTCCCATTTGAACTCCACAAAATCGACGGTGAGAGGGTAACGACAACACCTGACCTCGGTGGTATCCAGATTACATACAAGACCATCTGTGTCTCGTTTGGAGCGCATCGCTTGGGGTTTCTTCATTTCTATCTGTATGAACGGTCTCTGTTTGAAAAAAAAAAATATATATATATATATATGTTATAATTATAATTAGTAATTTATTTTAAAACTACACATTAATACACACTATCGTATTCCTAAAAAAATTCGTGTACATGTCATTTTGCAAAAACAAAAATTGGCGGAAAAATAGCTAATTATGTAACAATAATGCTAGACACTAGCAAGTATTGATTTTTAAGCTAATATATTTCGATATTAAAAGTAACTTTAAGCAATCTGGTAATCTAATAAATCAACACATTTTTAATATATATTTCAATCACCAAACAGTAATAGTATCCTTGTATGCATGTTTTGGGTGACTCGTTCCTAATTTTTTAAGATTTCTTGATCTGTTCCTGATGATTCAATGATAAGTTTACCGACTTACAACGCTAACATCAAGGGTTCGAATCCCCGTGATGGATAGAGCATAGATAGCCCATTGTGTGACTTTGCTCTAAAACAAACAATAATTCACAGGGGCCTCAATATTCCAATTAAACATTGCATCCCAATGTTTCTGAGGGGAGTGAGCAACAATAAATCCGATGCAGATTCAGGTTCAGCGATACCTAGAACATACTTCTAAACCACCTTCGTGCTTGGATGACCTTTCGGGTGCGTTTTTACCCCCATTGGTATTCCCTTCGTAGGGGGGCTACGCCATATAGCCAAAGTCACAGTCACTCCTTGGGCATCCTGAGTCCGCTTGCCAAGTTTAATCCTGATAGCTTTAAACCTGTGGGAGGAGTTCACGGCCAAACACACAATGCAAATTAATATAAGATGCTTAGTTCGGTATTAACTTTTGCATTTTACCACTCGAGATTACACCGGCCTTATGATTGGTCTAAATTTGATTAGGTCATTATCAAAATTTGACGCACTTTGAATTTATAAATACTAAGCAATACATAAGATCGTAGAGATGTACACGTGTAAGAATAATATAAAAAAATACAGTCGTTCCACACGCCATTGTTTAACGAAGTTATTTTGAATTTAACACCAAAGCAGATTAAGTCTGCACAAGGTCACTCTTGATCACTGCAAATGCTTAATTTTAAGGGTTTACTTAATCTGAATATTAATTTAATCCATCTTGCTAATGTTTGCGATTCTGTTAGTCTACACCAACGTAGCAATTACATTGAAATTTAATACGTAGATTCCAGATGATGATGACCAAGATCAAACACTACGTAATTTGTTTGGTTCAAATACTTAAGTTATGCAAATAGCAGCATAACTATATGTCCTAGTATGCATAAGTTAACCTTTTTTTTTATAGTCGTTTGAATATACTATGGCAACAAGCAATGCATATCCTAAAGTTATTCAGGAAGGTCAGGTGGCTACTATATGAAATAAACATAAATAACATTTTATTACTCATTACCCATTAACTCTCCTGTACGTTGCAATGTGATTTAATAATTTACCATTTCTAGCACACTTTTATTATTAATCCTGATAAATAATTCTATAGAAATTTATATATAGCTATGTATAATTCAGTGCATTAATTATAAATTAATGGATAGTCGCTTTCAAAAGCTACTGCCACAGGAGAATTCATTGTTAACTAAGGCTTGGCCCAGCAATAATTAAGCTGTAATTACATGTTAAAATAACAAAATTCAGTTCAGGTGTTGTTAGCTTCTATCAAACGCTATTATTTTGTTGAAGTAGTGTGTAGATGGTCCACTGACGTCTTGAATATAATCAAAAAAAGACGGTTAACAACAAAAAGCTGATATTCTAGTTTTGCTTTCGATAAAGGTTCTCCGAGTCCCTATAATAAATCTTACGTGAATATCTAATAACACAAAGAAAGGAACAAAAAACAAATATAAACCTCTAATGGAAACAGAACATTTTTTTTTCACGTATTACGATAAGTCGCTATTCACAAAAATGATAGTTTGTAAATCGAAAGTAATGTTTGTGTATCATGACACTGAACAAGACTTGTACTTTCAAAAAATTTAATTAAATTTTAATGGAGTGTTGACCTTTGGCTCAGTATGTGCTGACTTGTCATTCCTGAGCTAGTTTTACCAAGGCAGTTTCTCCATTAAAATTTGATGTTAAGCGTATACTTACTGTGCCAGCTAATAGACCAAACTCAGATTTCAACATATTTGTTTGTGTTAATAACCATGCATAATTATTTTCATGTCCATAATTTAGCTCTTTTTGTCATTCATTACCAATATGGTAATCCTTTTTTAACAACTGAAATTACACTTTTTCTCTTTAATTTTTAAAACTTTTGATCTTGTTTGTCTGTTGTTGAGCGCAATGGGCTATTTCTGCTTAGTTCACCGCGGCTAACAGACCTCAGTGTTTAGCGCAATAAGCCCTCAGACTTATCGTGGCCCACAGGAGAGCAAAACGTTTGATTGCTCTCTGTGTAAAATGAATAAGGAGGGTATGAAAACTTGTGCCATAAATTACGTGATTTGTAGTTACCTTTATGTAATGCCGTATTAATGAATAAAGTTCCTAACTTTCCTGGTTTTTTTTTATTAATTTTTCCTTTCAGTTTACTGATTACTGTTGAGTTTTCGTACTTTCAGATAGCTTCCTTAATGATACTTTAACAATATCCTATCTTTGTGATAAGAACAGTGACTGAAAAATTATTAACACATTTCCCAAGTATAATAAGGTCAACTATTCTATGTGTTCATGATTATATATGTTTAAACCTAATGTTTCGGTTTACAACGTTTTAAGTAATTGTATGGTATTTTTCATAAACAATACGTTATGTAAATCAGGTAAACTGTGTCAGAAACTCTAGGGTTTAATTATCGTCCCTAATTTAAAAATGCTCACCAGAGGATAGGGCACTCAGTCAGCAGCATGTAACGAATTTGTTATTATATATTTATTTTACTATCGACGCTTGTTTAGATTACATTTATATTTAGTCGCATACATAGCTTATACTGTTAAATATGTATTGCGAAACTCCTGCCTATTCTCCAAAGTTGTAGAAGGTTCTCGAGAGTGAGAAACAACAATATATGTGTGTACGTAAACGCTAGTGTTAGCGTCAGTATTGTTACGTAAAACTGAAATTTCGAGAAAGCCTCCATACGCCTATAGATATAACCAACGCGACGCGCCAAAAGAGTATCTATTATTAGTTTGCTATAGTCAGTGTGCTATAAACTTTGGAAACTATAACTGTGATTGTTATAACGCTTATCAATAAAAAAACTTGAAATATTTGACCAGGAACCTTTACAAAGTTCGAACATTACAAATCATTTAACTTCAGTGGATTCATATCGGACATTTGTACCTTTATGAATATATTATATAACTTCAGCGGTAAAAAAAACAACTCGACCTGTAATCGGCGTGTGTGGCTGGTGAATAACGAAGGACAAAGCTAGCTAGCTCCCTGTTAAGTGAATTATACCTACATCAACTCGTAATCAACTCGCTTATCGTGAACCCTCAATAAGATATCGAAGAAGTTCCAGACTAGAAAGAAGACTTTATATTGTTTGTAAGTTTGTGAAACTTTTGTTTATAAATCATTGCTTGTAATAATCATTTGTAATAACTGTTATTGTAAATTGTATTATTGTTTGTATATTAAAACATATTTGCATAAAAGAAAACTTTGTGTGTTTCAATCTTGTTGGCAAATATCATAAACTGATTATATATCGGCATATATTTAAATACTAAATCCAAAGTACAATTTAACTACGAAATTTAAATTATCAGTTAACTCGATTTCAGACCATTTGAAATTATAATACACAACAACCATCCACTACCTACCAGCACGGATATTCTTAACCGAAGAGCTAGGTTGACGGTAAATTTAAAGTTAAAAATGTGGAGCGTGTCAAACGGCGAATCGCGGGCTCGAACCTTGGACTTTTCAATCCACAGCCCGGCACGTCAACTCTCTGTACTATTATAGGATGTCTACGAATTAATAACCATATCTTTAGACAATTTCACGTTTATCATCAAAACCTTTTTCTTTTGCATTCTAGGCCTTAACAAGGCATATCTGAAGTACAGAGCGAACACACTGAAATTTTTCAAATACGCATGAGGAACTTGAGAGATGAACAATGTAGATTGCTTGTGCCTGAGGTAGTATCACGCTTAAGCACTCTCCATTGTTTTCGATGTGAAACTTTGTGCACATTTCATAGCAATTATATGATATACGTGTTTGTAATTTCAACTTCTCTGCGAAACAATGGACTGTTGTTCCCAGTAAATTGTATAAATATGTCTTACAAAAGCTATACATAGGTTAATTCGTATGTCTCTGTGTGCTAGAACCAGGGTCGTACGTAGGAATGTATGTTTGACCGCTATTGAGGGATGGTGTCAACAAACACATATTATTATATATAAACCATAACAATACACGCACATACATCATATGCATAAAACTAAACAGAGTTACATTCACCTGCTTTTACCCCCTTGTGCACGACCCTGGTTAGAAAAAATATTTTGGAATGGTGCTATACACAGTCCAATGCGATGCTTAACAGAAACTTACGTGAGACTCTTGATCATTCTCAGAAGGATTTGCAATGGAAGCGATGTTTCCCTTGTAATCTTCAATATCGACCACCAGCCCGAGGTTATCTTCAGGATGATGAATCCATTGTGACACGACTTTACGTACGTCTAACTTGATCCAATGACCATGATGTCTTCTCAGATCGATATGCTTGACTCGATACTGCACCAATATTAATCGTTACTTATGAGATCGATGCTTGATTTATAAAAAAAAATATTGAACTTTTTGGAATAATGTTTAAGTTCTTGAATATAACGTTCTATAGCTGTTAAAACAACCAGTACATCCAAAAATAAGGCAAAAGTATAGGCTTTGTGTTGTTTATAGATAGATATATTATTATATTTGTTAGTTTGTTGTTAAGCGATAAACTACACGATAGGCTATCTGTGTTGTGTCGACTACGAGTATCAGAACTCAGTTTTTAGCACTGTGCGCCCTCAGTCTTACCGCTGAGTCACTGGGGATACCTGATAAAATATTTTTTAAATTAATGTTGCACAACGCGTACAGAATGGATATTCAACATAGCCCTCGATACAGGAAGTTGTTTTAACAATTTCCGCTTTATTCTTTGCTATAAAAAAATACAACCGGGCATTAGTAAGTTTATTTATTTCAGCTTGAATAATGAAATGCTTTAATTATTGTGAAGCTGAAGATTAAAATAGAGGTCAGGAAATTTGCCTATGTGAAGGATCTGCTTGTTTCTAAATGCTTTTAGATGTTTTTTACTTGTATTCGAAACGTGAGAGTGTACAGTATATAAATTATTAGCTTTTCAGACTGGGTTGAATCCAATACAGTTGTGAAGCTTTTAATTATACCTAGCTATAAATATATATGTATATTATCCAAACAAAAGAAATGAAATGACCGTAGACTTTTATGTCAAAGGTCTATAATACCTGTGTAACTCTGACTAAGTATTTTAACGGTTTAAAACGTGAATTTTACGGAACTACTGTAGCATAAAAATATCGAAGCAGATAAATCAATACCTTGTACAGGAATTTTACACATTTGATTCTTACAATAAGGAGAAGTTCGACAGGGAATAGTTTGTTACTTTAGGGATATAGTTCCTGGACTGAAACTCGCAGTAAATATCTTGTACCATCATAAAATACAATCCTACTTAATAAAAGAAGCTTTTTCTACTGCGGCACGAGAACATGATAAGCCAGAATAAGAGAAGCTTCTTCTACAGTAGCCTTGAGAACATGATAAGCCAGAATAAGAGAAGCTTCTTCTACAGTAGCCTTGAGAACATGATAAGTCAGAATAAGAGAAGCTTCTTCTACAGTAGCCTTGAGAACATGATAAGTCAGAATAAGAGAAGCTTCTTCTACAGTAGCCTTGAGAACATGATAAGCCAGAATAAGAGAAGCTTCTTCTACAGTAGCCTTGAGAACATGATAAGTCAGAATAAGATAAACTTTTTTCTAAAATGGTATTAGATCATGATAGACCAGAATAAAAATTCGCGAAACATTTTGTAGAATAAATTAACACCCAAGAGCTTCTGATCGGTTGTATTTTTATTTTTTACATCATTTTCGAGAAGAACATTTTGTATATTTTACGGAGATCTGCGTTTTCCGTAAATGTTTAGTTTTGTTTCTTGAATTAAACCAACAACGTGCATCAGATAAAAAAGATTCGCAAACATTTTGTAAATACTTTCGTAAAGAAATATTATATTTTTTTAAGATTAAAGCTATATTGACTAGGGAAGTAAATATTTTCAATAATAACCTATTGACTGATTGCAAAGACTAATTTACCTGTAACAGGCTGAGGGATTCAATACCTTGAACCACCTGATTGATGTAGACTGTGACACCTCCGTTGTGGAGACCCTTAATAGACTTCAGATATAACCAAAGATGAGCCTTCCTTAGATGGGAATTCATGACTTTCTCGGAGAAGACAAAGTGAAGAATGCTCTTCTCTGGTATTGTATCCTGTTCTGACACTGTTTAAAATAAGATAATTAGCATTATTTGTGATAGCAATCCTGCCTAAAAATTAAAGTAATAAAGTGTTTAAAAAGTATTCTATGCACAGTATAAATCAAAGAAAACCACAAACATGTTGAACATCCACAGACAAATTTAAATGACGTAAACTAATTATTATATTTCTATGAGATAGATTTACTGGATTTCTGAAGTTTTCATATAACTTTAGCAATAACACTTTTACCTAAACTGTTGTTTATGGCCTCACAACTGCAAATGATGGTGCTTCATTAAAATTATCTGGTTATATATATACGTGTACATATACACACACACACAGTCAATTTACAAACGATCATTCCAGAAAAACGACACAAATATTTTACATTCCTTTTACTTACATCTATATACGTGTGCTGTTAACACTAGCTTACAGGAGTATATTGTTACAGCAAAAGGGCTTGCACACATGTCATACTTCAAATGACCTCAATGGTTTTTTTTTTCTGGAACAAAGTTCTGTACGCGACTTGAAAACGATTTTTTTTTATTCGTTTAGAGAATATTAAAGCCCACTCACTACACACGCGCACTCGCACGCAAAATAAATAAGCTCTGTTAGATATCGTCCCGCCTCCCCAGTGGCACAGTGGTATATGTCTGTGGACTTTACAACGCTAGAAACCGGGTTTCAATACCCGTGGTGGGCACAGCACAGATACCATTGTGCAGCTTTTTGCTTAACTGCAAACAAAAACAGTTAGGTATCAGTTTTTTTCCGCGATCTCTAGTGGGTAAATGGGAGCCAGGAAACTATGTTTTCTCAATATAGGATATGTGAAAATAAAATACATACTTAATGTTTAAAATAAAAGTAGTGAACTGCAATATCTAAATATCAAACCCGCAATTCAATCTTAATTCTGGATATGCAAAATATATATATGATTTATAAATTTATTATATCGTTCAGCATCGTTGATATGAATTTATATCTTCTTGTCATACTAAGCCACACGTGGGTATGTACAGTATAACACGAGCAGAAGGGATGCAGTTAACTGTTGAGGGTCACTGACTCGATTGTTATAACCTCTACACATATTGATAGCAATAACCAAAATTCTCTTTAAATTATGTCTTTTTTTTCCCACAGTGATATCACTCACGACAACAGAATGACTTATGATTTTGGGCATGTATCACCGCCGTGAACCAGTAAACAAGCCTGCTGTGCTCGAAGAAAAGGGGAAAGTCAGGGGTCCCCCCCACCCTACCGCCTCCCATTTCCCATATACTCTTCGAAATCTAGATCGTGGAACGTTCGGCACCCAAGCTAATGGCGAGATAGATCTTTTTGTACAGCTGCCGGCGGCTACCTAGTGCCCGGTATTGTACCTCACTCAGCAAGAACAGCGGGAGAAGCCAACATATGTTTATCCCCTGATGACCCGAGGCGTGCAGCAGGGCCTTTCAAACTATACCGTTTCCCAAACTTTTACGGGCTTTTCTCCCTGCTGAAAGCTCTAGATGTTGTTCCGCCTTATTGCCGGTTCATCATCGTACATGACAGGCCTTTTGTTGGCTACCTAATAGGCTCAGAGGCCGTGGTGGCAGTGGTCGACCTTCACCCTTTCCTGACCTCCACTTGAGTTTGTACAGTTACTGTCCCATATTTCATGACCCTGCACAGCTGGAACTTTATCAGGGCGTAAAGCACGGTTCATATTGCTCTCAGCAAGCTGGGGTTCGTTCGTTTTCTTTCTTTTTTTTTATTCTAGTTTGCCTAGGGCTTCTTCTGACCTTGTTGGCCTAACTCGCTGCGTAGAAATGAAACATGCTGGGATAATAAACGGACAGTCAAAGTTAACCTTATCACGCCCTCTCACTTGATTTGTGTGGTCAGTTATGTAGTTTAATGCCCTTCGTCCTTTATTCAATTCGACCTTCGGATTTTTTTTCCTCACTTAAAAAATATTTTTAGAAGATTGATCACTAAGTCTCTATTAGTTTACGTCATCTGGAATGAACTTACAATCTAATAGATTTTGATTCCAAAATAACAAGTACACTTATTTCTAACCTTCAACAATTGACAATAAATTTGGGTTAGTAAAAAGCTTGAGTAACTTTTTAAATAAAAAATTGTATTCCTTCAAAGAAACAGGTAAAAACAAACTTCTTGTTTCGAGAGTACAGATATGCTTTCTTCACTATAACACAGTAAGTTTTCAAATGACCTAATTTCCAACGGTAACCATGACAACTCAACAAAACAGCTGAAATAATTCATGAGTGACGAATGCATTCACTCTGACATACGCACCATATATATGTAATTATGGTCAATTACTGACGCTTCTCCAATTAAATATGATAGGAACCACTTGTAATTCTGTACTATACAGAATGATATAAAACCTTTGTACCCACTTTGCCGCTGTTTTCTGTCCAAACTGAAGTTGTCGGATCAAACTATTTCCAATTAAGAGACTATTCTCTGTTCTTCCTAGCTCATGCCCGTTAAGTAGATGACAAAGTGTTTTTTATTCTGACACCATTCCCCCCCCCCAACGGTGGTTAAGCGGTAAGTCTAAGGGCTTATAATGCTAAACATTGGGTTTCAATACCCGCAGTGGGCAGAGTGTTATGCTTAACATCTAACAAACAAGTCTAATATCATTAACGTTTTTCACTCGGCCTTAGATCTTTACAAATCTGATTGTTAAAATTCATTTTGTCATACACGCTTACAACGTTATTTGAAGGAACATAAACATTATTTTATTTTTTTTACAGCGAAATAAGATAGGCACTAAATTTAGGATAAGTCTTAATGTTCAGAGCACCTCTTGCTCTCTGTTTTGTTTTTATTATACAACCATAAAACAAAGAAATAAGAAAAGCGTTATCTTGGAAAAAAGTATCATTTATCATTTTGTATTTTTGCTTTCTTGTTCTCATCGAATCACATCATCATGTTCATGCACATACGTTACTTTAAATGTAGTTCTTGTTTATGAGTGAGTGTATATTTTACGCTTACGTTTTTAATAAGTTATGGAAATTTTAAAGTAAATCTTTTATATACAATATACTTATTTGTGTACAATTTTTTTCTTTTATTACCTGCACAAGATGGACTATAGGAAACAAAGCAAAGTAAGGCGCTGCTCAACTGATTTTTTAGCAGTTTTAAATTCATTTTTTTCTTTTTAAGTTTGCAAAATGTTCATAATAGCAACTACTGTTAGAATACTATGCATTTTGTTTTTGAAATTAACACAAATTCAGACCGAAACTTAAGACTTTAACCTCTATTTCGTAAGTCCAACTTATTTTTGTCTGTTATGCAAGAATGATAATTTGTTTGCTGTGAGCGCAAACCTGTACATTGAGGCTATTGTCGCTGTATCTTCTGTAGGGATCGAGAATCGCATTTTAACGTTATAAGCCCTGAAACTTACAGTTCAGTTACCAAGGGGCTAAACAAGAATAAAAATTCATTTGGAAGAGTTCTCTGGACACAATTGAAAAATCGCTATCCTCTCCTATTCTGGTATTATAAATATAAAGCGCTCCTTTGTTTATTTGTTTGAAGTTAAGCACAGGGCTACACAATGGGCTATCTGTGTTCTGCCAGCCACGGTTATCGAAACCCGGTTTCTAAAATTGTAAGTCCGCAGACATGCCGCTGTATCACTGGGGGACGTATAAAGCGTATTAAAAATATATATTTGCAATAAAAATTCCTTGCTCTTAAGTTTGATTAGATTCTCAAATTTAAATATATATGTATGTGTATTGTTTATCTACGTATACCAGGATATTCATCGTGGTATTCAAAATTGTTACTGTGCAAGAACTATCAGATAAATTAGGATATAAAGTTATGAAATTGAGATCTAAATTTGAGCTTAAATAGACACAACGGAAGCTTACAATGTATTTTTAGATGTTAGTTAATAACAGTGGTACCGTATTTCTGTTAATATCTATTGTTTCCTTCACCCCCACCCCTTTTTAAATTTTTTTTGATGCAGGCAATTATATCAAGGATTCTAGTAAAATACACCATATCATTCCAGCCGTTCTTTACTGTATTGGTAGCCTGAAGACTATCAACCTATGAACCTCACATGGCCATGAATCACAGTTTTTATTTTGTAATATATGGCTGTTGCGGTGTAATTAATGTCACGGTGTAATTAACGTTTCGTTGATTTATGGGAAGGCTTGGTGAAAGCTGTGATTGGACTCCAAATATTGAGGACCTAATTGCATTGAATATGTAGTTTATTTTTGGAGGGAGTTGACTTCACTTGCCTACGATAAATTTCCCTGGCACACTGTACGAGAGTCGCGTTCCACGTGCCTGGAGCGTGTTGGAACGCCGAGGTCGTTTGTCACGTGCTATCAAAATCCGCGCCTCGTTTAAATATCGGGCAAAGTGAAAAAGACTCCCTGCTCAGTGAAACCTGCAGGATATTTGTAGTTTAGGGTTATCTGCTTATTCATCACGACCCTCAGCTTCTTCAAGTTGCCAGCAAGTGTGCAGTCGCTTTATAAACATTGGCTTATCAAACAACAGCTACTCTGAACCAGTTTATTAGAAATGATTTCTATTGCTGCTATCATTCCTACCGATCAATTTATAATCATAGAGCAAGGAAAATATTTCAAAAGGTCATTAGTTATTTATAGTGTTAGTAGAAATTAGCAATGAGCTTTCAACATTTGAGTCAGATTAAAGTAAATACTTATCGTAAGAATGTTAGTAATAAAAACTCACTGCATAGATCAAGGGGAAGCATTTACCACAACAGTTTTGGGCCTCACCCAAATATAGGCAAAAGTTATTTATAAATAGTTTGCCCTTAACAGTTTGTCAGCTCGTTACCATGGGAACATGATACATCACAAAGAAAATAACAAATTTCTGAATGGTGCATGTCGTTTTAGAAAAGAAAAAATTATACAGTACACAGTGATCTGCCTTGGCATAATCAAAGTA